AGTGATGGGCAAAGGGGGCTGGGGATGGGGGCAGCCCTGTGGTGCGTTCACCCTCGTTTCTCCCAAGGAAAACTCCCCTTTGGATGTGAACGCCGCAGCACCAAGGGGATGCGAGGCTGGGAAGCAGGCACTTTGCTGCAGTCCTGGTTTAAGGGTGGGTTTGGAGCCCTTCAAGGGGTGTTCAAGGCCAGGTTGGACACAGGGGCTTGGAGCAAGCTGCTCTAGTGGAAGGGGTCCCTGCCCATGGCAGGGGTTGGAGCTGGATGGGCTTTAAGGTCCCTTCCACCCAAACCAATCCCGGATTCGATGGTTTAGGCAATGGTGCCTCCTCATGGGATGATGCCAGGTGGGTCGGGACAGCGGGTGAGGATGGAACAGCTCACGTTGTGCCTCAGTTTCCCCATTTGCAAAACAGGGATGTGATGGGGGGTGCAACCTTAGGAAAGGATGGGGAGGGACCAGGTTAGAGCTGGCCTTGCTAAAACCAGTGCCTTTAGCAAGGAGAGGGCTGTGGCCGAGCAACACAAGGAGCTTCTCACCAGCAGCATGGGGCTTGGTCCTCCTAGGCCTGCATCCCTGAGCATCCCTCGGTGGCAGCCTCAGAGCCTTTCTGCGAGCCCTCAGCACCACCTAGTGTTCCCGAATTACCCAGGGCTCCGTTTCTGCACGCCCAAGACGTGTCCAGCCACCCCGTGTGGTAGCTGGTACCCAAGCACTGCATCCCTTGCCCCTGCACCCATAAGGACCCCGACCCCAATTCCTGCCTCTTCTCCCGTTTAACCACACAAATCCCTGTGCAAGCTCTCTGGTGTGAAGGCTGCTCCCCAAAAACACAGCACCCACTTCCCACAGCCCTCCCAAAGCTTTCTTCTTCATGGGCATGGATTTACAGGGCAGGCTGAAATGCTTCAGCAGCCCCCAGCTTGGGGAGATGCTGGTTTGTTGCACATCGGGGCTGTATTTCCTTTGCTAAAGGTGAGTAAATACCAGGGTTTGAACTGGCTCCTCTCCCCATTGCCTTTTAATGGATTTGGGGATTGATTGGGATGCTGAAAAGTAGAGGAAATGATAAATGTTTGCTTAGGAAAGAGGGTTGGAGCTGGAGTGCTGGGGAGGAGGAGAACAGGCCCAAACTGTAAGGGTGATAAATAGGGGAAGGAGGAAAAACAACCATCAGTATTAACAACAACACTTCCCAAACCCAATTTAAATAACAAAGATCTCAGTGTTAACATGTCAAGATGATGAGCTTATTTACCCTCTTTTCAGATGGATCTGCCATCCGTGTCTGATGCTGCTGGCTCCTCTCAATTCCATGTCCCGGATAACCTCAGCACCATCTACAGGCATTTCTTCCAGCTCCAGGTCCTGAAGATCGATGAATAATTGTTCTTTATCCCAAATAAACCCCACTGGTTTCAATGGGAGACATGGGTGTGGACAGCAGGAGCAAGCCCAGATGGAGGGAGGTGATTCCTCCCTCTGCCACCGAGATGTGCCCTTGCTCCACTCATTGCTCGATGGCAATCCAATGCAGGATGGAGCTGCTTTCACGGCGTTTCCTACCTGCTTTTCTTGCTCTTGCATCAGCTGTAAGCTCTGTTTTCACCCTGCTTGCCCCCGTTACAATTTCCATGGAGTTTTGCCCACTTTGTGCTCATTTTTGGGTGCAATCACTTCAACCTTTACCCTCCATCACCTCTCCTTCTAGCTCCCTTTCTGTTGCTTTTTGCTGTTTTCTTGCTCTCTGCCTTTGTTGTCTCTTACCTTGCCTTTATCTGGCTACACTATTTCCTTTCTAGTGATCTTCTGTCCCTTATTAATGCTATTCCCTTGTCCAAGCACGCTGCAGGGCTGGCATCCAGCTGGGACTGATGCAGTTTCCATCACATCGTGGCCAAGCTCTCCCTGCTTTCATTTAATTCCAATCCCTTTCGCCTGTTTCCACCCAGACAAGGTCTCAATCTGTTCAGGGGGTCTGTAATAGAAACCTTTGGGGTGGTTTCTTCACTTGTGCCGCCTTTCTTTGCCAAGCTCTGCCCCAGGGTGATCCCTTTTTGGTCCAGCTGTGCACGGATGCTGTTTGCTCTGCGCAGCTGCAGATGTGCTGTAGCAGATTGATTCACCTCCCCATTTTGCCATCTGGAAACCTCATTCCTAGACATCTTTGTGAAGGAACAGGGTGTTTACAAGGAGAAGGCCACATTTTGAGCAGAGTTCAATGAGTCCTTCTCCATCTCCTTTGCTAATTCCCAGTTTGTGCCTCCTCGGGGCTCTTTTCACCCCTCATCGTGCCCTGTCTGGGGACTAAAGATGCCCAAAAGGAGCAGTAAATGGTGCTGGTGATAGCTTGGAGGTAGCTGCAGACCTCTGCCTCTTCCCCTGCTTCAAGGTACTTCATCATCCCTGCAAATCTGGGTTGCATATGACAGGTAAAGGCTCAGCCGATGGGAGGATGCTTTGAAGGGATCTTTCCCTGGGTACCAGGAAGGATGATGGGGCAGAGCTGCTGCATCTATGGGAGGATGAGGCATGCAACCGTATTCCCACAGATATATTGCCTGTGGTGGGTGCTACATTGAGCACCCACTTATCTGGGCAGGTTTCATATGCCCCCATGCATGGGTGCAGGATGGGGGGAAAGGAAACGAGGTGTAACTCATCACCTTGGATGGAAAGCACATTGATATCCCAGTGAGGGTCCATATAAATCTCTGTGTCTGGGTGAGTGTGTCAGGCAGCTCTCCAGTTGCAGGCAACCCGTGCAGCTCACGGCTCTGTCACACATCCTCCCTGCCAGCACAGGAAAACAAGGGAACTGATGTCCTGCCTCTGACATTCCATCATTCCTCCCATTTCTCTGAGTGATTAAAGCGGAGCAATTCCCAATCATAATCATGCATCGCTCCATCCATCCTCCTGCATCCTCCAGCCTGTATCTAATGCTGCATCCTTGGAGACTGCAGGTACCAAAGAACATACTCTCTTTCAGGAGGGCATCCTGAGATGTTTCCCAGAGCAGCAAACTCCTGTTTTCCTGCTCACTGCATTGGCATGTCGTTGTGAGGATGCTGCAGGCTGCTGTTTGCTGTCAGGGGTCCTATGGGCAGGTTTAGGGGCTGCAATTCCACATGGGATAGGCAGGGAGAAAATAGACACCAGGAGGTGGGAAAGAGAGATGGGCTGGACACAAAACAGCTTTTTGAGGCCTCAAAATGCCTAGAAACAGGAATTGTGGGTGTTTTCCAGGGCTGATTTGATGCAATGAGTCATAGAAAAGGTGATGAGCAGGACTTGAGCCCCACGTTGGCTGTTTTGGCTGGGTGTGCAGTGCAGCGTGGTGACCCATCTCCAATGGTAGCCCAGTGCCCGTGGCTGGTGCGTTATAGGCTTTACATCTGATTTCCAGGCTGTTTAAGCAGTTGCAAGGGCTTAAGGTGAAGATGTAGCTATAAATTAGAGACTGCTTTGGTTACTGGTGTGTTATTCCCAATAAGGGACATGGTCCCTCTGGAGCATGGGAAGAGAGACATTTTGCTGAGGCTGGGTTCTGTTAACCCCCAGCTCGGGGATGGGCTTTACTACAATGAATAGATGTGGAGAGCTGGTTTGCTTCCTTATAGTAAGATCCTTGCCCCCCCCTACACACACACCCTGTGGTTTGGTTCTGCAAATATTTGATGGTGCACATTTCCTGGTACGCCACGAGCAGAGCACTCGGTGGCAGCAAACTCCTGTTTCAGGGTCAGGTTTAGCCAAAAAAAGTGCAGCTTTTAGCCCAAACCTCAACCTTTGCAGGCGAGAGGAGCTGTGGGGTTTGTGTACCAGGTCCCGCAAGTAACGGCTGAGATTTCGGGATGGTGGTTTTGGTGTTTCTTTGGTGTTTGTGTTTTTCCATGGGCTTGCACAGAGAGGCAGCAACTCCCCCGTTAAATAAATCCTCATTTCCCTTCATCTCACCACTTGTTTTTCTTCCATTTATCTCTCAACCTCAGCTTCAGCTATAGTGTGTTTCGTGGGTAAAGCCTCTGATGTAAGCACCTTTATCCCAACGCATTCCAGGGCTTATGGGACACGGGTTAAAACGGCAGCCAACTGAATGGAGGAACTGCCTAACTAGAGAAATGGAATGCCTGCAGCTTGGCTTTTGCCTCTGGAATGCTTGAATCACCCCACCTGAATAAACACGCCTGGTTTGGGCATCCAACCCCACCACCGATAGCATCAGCGGCGAGAGGATGCCGTTGGGATGCTTCTTCCTTTCCACCTCTCAGAATACATATATTAATGGATAACTGTTTTTACAAGAAGCCACCTGTTTAAACAGGACAAAGCTTTGCTTTTAATACATCAAAACACTAATAGCAAGGAAAGATTGCCAAACAGGGCTTCTGCCCATGGGGTCATTTATAAACCAGGGTGGATACGCGTGGAACATCTAAATGCAGCTTCCTCACTACCATTCCCTGCTGCAGGTGTATTTGTTCTAAGGGGTGTAAGTAGCTGCTCTGTGAAAGTGAGTTAAACCCAGGGCTATTGCAGAGAGGGCTCTGCCTTACAAAGAGCGATAATAACCCTTACCTCTGGCCCAAGGGGACAAGTAGGGGTTAATTATTTAGCATCATAAAGCACTCGCAGGGCTGGGGATGAAAGTGGGAAGTCTTCTTAGGAATAAACTACATTTTATAAGAGGCCTGGTCCTAGAATTCCTGGTTGGAATATGGGGGATGAGCAGCGGATCCCCCAGGGAGCATCCATCGCATCCATCGTGACCTGGGGGGCACAGAAAAAGAAGTGTTTTGGGGAAATGAATCTGTTTTGCAGTGTTTCATGGCTGGGGATGTGCCGAGGGATATGGGGACCTGGGGTGGGGAGGATGCCCCATACAGCCTGCAGGAGGTGGGTGATGGGGCAGTCGATAGAAAGGGATTGAATCATTGCAATGAAATGGGAGAAAATAATGATTTGGGGTGGGGGGAAGCCAGTTCTTCAAGTCAGGGATGAGTTTTGGGGCAGAAAACTGCAAATCAAAGCACCCTGTGTGCGCAGGGGTGGGGGTTATTGATGTGTCCGGGGTGACCCTTCCCATCCGTGTGGGGTTTGTGAGGCTGCCAGCACCCAGGGCGGGCAGGGAGGAGGCAGGTCTTGCAGGCAGGGGAGGAGCACAGCCTACCTGGGCGCAGGTGCTGCAGCGGGATCACCGGAGCAGGTAAGGCTCCATTGGCCAGGACCGGTGTGGGAAGGGGGTTTCATGTTGGGAAAGGGCTGGGGAGGGGGGAAGAAAGTCACCTCAAGCCATGGCAATCACCCCCTATAGCTGGGAAAGGAGGGGACCCCCCTCGCCTGCCCTTTGGGTGGGTAAGGATGGGGAATCCCAAAAGCTGGCATCTTGTCCCCATAGAGAAGGAGGAGAGGGGTTGGGGTGGGTGAGCCTGCACCCATCCCCATGGGAAAGCAAATTGTGGGCGTCATGGGGGAGTGCGCTCTGTTCTCCTGGACCCACCACAATGGGGCGTCCCAGTGCCCTGGGGTCCCCATAGGATGGGGCACAGGGGGATTTGGTGCTGTCCCCTGCGGTGATGGGACGGGACGGAGCAGCCCCGTGAGCGTGCAGCAGCACTGCCAAGGAGGAAGTGGAAAAACAAACACCGTGGGGCTTAGAGGCAGGCCGAGGGGAGCGTGGGTCAGGCGGGGGCCAAGCAGTGGCCCCCAAACCCTCCCAGCCCTTGGCACTCGCAACCAAATCACATGCAAAAGCTGTGCCTGAAAGCTAAACTCAAATCACTGCTGCGGGCACCCAACCAGCAGCTCCCTCCCTGCAGGGCTGCCCAGAAAGGTCTCTTTTAATGCCCCAGAATGAAGAGTCCCAGGGTGCTGTAGGGAAAGGCTTTTTCCTCCTTCCTACCTCCTAGTTGTTGTTGCAACAAGTAAGAACATCTCACTTGTGCGGCACAAGACGCACGCACCGAGGCACGCAACGCATGCAGAGGTTTATGTCTGGCAGCCACAGCGACCTATTAAAGGCAGTGGTAGCTGCAGCGCTCCACAGGCTTAGCCTGATGTGTTGAAGGTGAACAACTGGATCTATCTGGGGTACGGTGCAATGGAAACGGGTTCTTTGGTCCCTTGTCATGGGCAGTTTTCCTTGAGGGATGGCGAAGGCGGTTGGGAGGAGCGCGTTGTATTGCATATACAGTCTTAGGCTGAGACCTTGAACAATACCCATTTTTGCTGCGTTGCTGGTGGTGGTAATGCCAGTTTTGAGTCACTGCTTCATGTCGGGACTTGTGAGGCTATAGGGGTTGGAGGAGTCAGGGTTGTTCCATCGCCGCACATCACGGCTTGCTGCGTCCCATGGCACCCAGCACCTCTAGAAAGCCCTTTAATCTCTCAGGCACCACACAGAGGCAAAGAGAAATGGCTCATTTCCCAAACCAGATCAGTTTCAGTCAGACCTCATTGCCTTAAAGCCACAACTAAACAAATGCAGGTCATAAAGAGAAGCCAAAGGGTGACCAAGTGCCCGCTCCGAGCTCCTGTAATCGAGATGGCTTTGGGCAGTTTGTTTTATTTCTCAGCTTTCCCTGCTGGGCTGTAGCTCAGAGCTGCTTTTTGCTGCTTCCCTGATGGGGAGGCTCAGCACAGGGGTAAGGATGGAGACTTATAAAGCAGGGACTTACAAAACAGAGGGATAAAAGAGAAGAGCGGTAGCAGGCAGAGAGCAATATAACCTTTCCATCACCAGCTTTTCAGTCTCTTTTTCCAGTGGGTCCATTGCGTCTGTTGAATAGACCTCAGGTCCAACATCCCAAATGTGAGGCTTTAGTCCCAGGTTGAGCTTCCAGGTTGATTTCATCCCATGGCCTTTGTTTTTGGGTTAGCTCGGTCTATCTCAGGTGTCGGGACATGATGGTCCTTCAGCTATTCCCCAGCAATTGAGCCTAACGGGCTCCAATGGTGATGACTGATAGTTTTAAACCCAGGTCTAAAGCCCCTGCTGACCCTTTAGAGGCAGAAAAGCTGCTTTCCTGCTTTTGCAGACGTGGTTGGGCTCACGAGCGTTAGCAATGAGGACCATGATTGCTCAGTGTCACCGTGAGCGCTCCCCGGTGCAGATGGGGGCAGTGATAGAAGGAAAACCAATGATAATGGGATGAAATGGTTCAGAGAGGGGTTTTAGCCTGACATTAATGCATTAGGGATCCAGCTCCCAAGGGAGATAATGGAAGTGCTGCTATGATTACGAGTGCCTCTGCAGACAAGGAAGACAGTGCTGGTAATGGAGTGCGGCAGCGGAAACAGGAGGCAATGCCTCTCCTGACACCTCCTGGGTGTCTCCCCTGCCATCGTTCTGCCCACACAGACGTGGTTATCTCCCCTCTATGTTATCTTCTCCATTCAGCCCCCCAGGTAGAGTATTGAGGCTGTGGGGTTATGAGCAGACCCAAACCACATCTACAAGGTTGGAAATCGCTTCCTTATTTCCAGCTCCACGCCTCGGCGGCATTCCCCAGCTCAGCCTTTGTCTTTATTGCAAGCCAAGGCACTTCCCTTCTCCACTGAGTCAGCACTTCCCTGGGGAGCACCCTTGTCACCCCAGAGCCAGGGAGCAGCAGGTCCCACTGGGAGCAAACCAGCTCTGATGAGTCCGAGCTGCATCATCTGCAGGGGTTGAAGGGTTGAAGGTTAACAGCAGGAGCTGTTTCCAATGGTGAACTTTAAACTGTGATTTCCAGGCTGGGGAGAATAGAAGTGATGCCCCGACGTTATCGCTGCTCTAATAAAACCATTCCAAAAAGCCCTTATTAAAGCCAATGTGACCTTTGGAAAACATAAAGGGTCCAGGGTTTAGGTGGAAACAGATTATACGTGGCTGCCACAGTAGGGCAAAAGGAGGTGAAAGCCTAACTGGGCTCCTCTCCATCCTCCCCGCTGCTTCAAACACTTCCCTGGGTGGTTGGGTGCGTGAGCTATAAACCAAGAAGAAGCCAGCTCCTTTGGGAGGTGGTAAGAGCAGATGAAAGAGTAAATCATTAAGCAAGTGCAGTGCACAGCATTGTAATAACCAGGGGGCAAAGTGCACTAATTACAAGCCAGCAGGGACGTGGGCATGTTATTAAACACAGGTTGGATGAGGAGGGAAGGGAAAAGTCAGGCTGCGCAGGGATGCTCTGCAATGGTGGCTGCTGCTCCCAAGCCACAGCATCAGCTGGACCTCCAGCTTTTTCCTTTCCCCAGTGTGACTGATGGCAGCCAAAGTCTCGTTGCATTTGGAGCAGGAGGGATACGGAATGGATTGGATTGGAAGGGGGCTTAAAGCTCATTCAGCTCCATGCAGCAAGGACACCTTCCACTAGAGCCAGGTGATCCAAGCCCCTGTGTCCAACCTGGCCTTGAACACTGCCAGGGATGGGGCAGCCACAGCTTCTCTGGGCACCCTGTGCCAGCGCCTCAGCACCCTCCCAGGGAAGAGCTTTTGCCTAAGAGCTCATCTCAGTCTCCCCTCTGGCAGGTTAAAGCCATTCCCCTTGGCCTGTCCCTGCATCCCTTGTCCAAAGCCCCTCTCCAGGTTTCCCCTTTAGGCACTGGAGCTGCTCTAAGGTCTCCCCTTAAGGAGCCTCCTCCAAACGAGAGCTGTTTGCTCCAGGGCACTCGTTGAAAACAGAACAGTTTTGCTTGGGTTTTCCCCCTGTGCTCACCTCTTGCATGTTTCCAGAGGAGGAAGAGAAGCAGGAGGAATAGTTTTGCTGGTCACGCGTCCCAGATAAGCCTCCCTGCTTCCTGCTGCTGGGCCATCGGGCAGGACAGAAGGCAGCAACCCCAAACCAGGCCCTGCTGTTGCACCGGGCTCACCTCATCTCACATCAGCCAGGGTATTCCTTCTCCATGTAAGTGACCATAAAGTTTCTCTGCTTTGATTGATCCGTGTACCATAGAACGGCTGGGGTTGGAAAGGACCTTATCCTTTAGATCATCCTATTCTGACTGCATCAATCTCACGTGGGAAACTACCAGGTCCCATCCAATATAGCTTACAAATAAAACTGCTGGAGCTAGATCATGGAGCTACATATATTACTAAGTGTTGTTGTGGTAGTGTTGGAATTATGGCATTAATATGGCTTGATATGGCTGCAGTGTTTCTTTGGTACTCTGGGATGGGTTTAGTTGTGCTTTCAGTCTCCGTCCTGATGTTATACCAGTGTATATGTGATGGGATTCTCTGCTCGCCCAGAAATGTTCCAGCCATCTCCCTGGCTCACTTATGCTGCTCCCTTCACCACAGGGATACAGGTGGATGCTCTGATTCCCTGCTTGTTTCTTTCCAAGTCCTAAACAACCTATTGTGTTAATGCACTGGACTGTGCTGGCAGTGCTGGTGACCGGAGTCTTGCTTTGATTCTGTGTTTAATTACCCAGTGTCAATAAATCTCTCCCTTTAAATCATGCCTGCAAAGCTGCTAGAAAGAAAACAGCATTTCCATGCACAGCTTTTTCACTCCTGCATTAAATCCCCTCCTAAATGCATTGGCATGAACCCCACCGTGATAGCTCATAGGTGTCCTGGGACCGGCCCCGTGTGAGCCGCAAGGACATCAGCTCTGTCTGCGTGTCGCTGCATGCACCGGGGTGGTGTTTGCATGGGGAGGCAATGTTTGCTCACCGTGAGCTGTTGGATGAGGTGGCTTGGTTAAACCAGTTCGATTCGGGCAGGTTGGCTCCAGGGGCTTTAGCAGGTCTGATCTAACCCAGCACATTTGCAGGCCCAGGGACAGCTTCCTATGGGAGATGGTATCTGCACACAGGAGCGCTCCGGGGCTTCAAAGGTGTCCCTGGGACAACCTGACCTCAAATCAAAGCCTCTCAAAGGCCGGCAGCACAAGCCAGTTGTCCTTTATGAAGGAGGGAGGCAGCAGCAGAATAAGTGGTGGAGAGGCACTGGCAAAGAGAAGCTCCATTGCTAAATGGAGAGGGAAGTCCTAGGCACTGGAAACAGAGCCTTTGCTATCAATTAAAACATCCTAATTGACCAGCCTGACACAACTGACCTGTGAGGGCACCAAGGCAGGGCCCCAGAGGTACACTGGAGCCCACAGGACAGAGTTAATAGTTAATAGTTTCTCTTCCTAATGAAGCAAAGCAACAAATGGCAAACGGGAGCTGGCTGGGTTAGGATTGCACTAATTCCCCTAGGAAACGGCTCCCTGGCTCTACTGCCTAGCTTGGGCTCTGCATGGGGCAAATCCCAGCTCAGTGATGCTCCATGGAGAGAAGAAGGGATGGGAGGAGGTGCTAAAAAGCCCACCCTGGAAGGGAACCCCCATTCTTCCCATTGCTATGTCAAAGAACTGGTGTAAGCTGTATCATGACATGGCTTTTCCTTTGCCTTGCAGACAGAGGAGGTTGTCAGGATGGCAAACTTCAAGGGCCACGCGCTTCCAGGCAGTTTCTTCCTGCTCTTTGGGCTCTGGTGGTCGGTGAAATACCCGCTGCAGTATCTCAGCCAGAAAGTGACTAAGAAATCCCACAGGATTTATTGCTTCCAGCGTGTGGACGCCATCGAAGGGGGACTCAAAATCATCTTTGCTCTCATAGGTAAGGGTTATATTTTAGGGGTTATGCTGGTAACTTCCCAGCCAGGAGTGATGCCTGAACTGGAGCCCTTACTCATAGAAACTACATGTGGAAGGACGAGCCTTGGATGTTCATCTTGATCTCTAGTAGGGATTGATGTGAAAAGGCCAAGTCTCGTGTCCCTCTTCAAACTGAGCTACCACTAATAAAGCCAGCCCTGATTTTGATATCCAGTCCCTTCTCCTTCATGCAAAACCACCCCTTCTTGCTTCAGAGCCACCCCAACAGCAATGAGTCAGGTCAACCATCACTGCAAATGAGGCATGAGGACCACGGGCTCTCATGTGTCCATGCAGGGATGCTGGCAGAGCAGTTCGTCCCGGATGGTCCTCACCTGTACCTCTACAGCGGGGAGAACCGTGACTGGGTGAAGCTGATGAACTGGCAGCACACCACCATGTACCTCTTCTATGGCCTCTCTGGGGTGGTGGACGTCTTCACCTACCTCTCCCCATTGGTGCCACGGGGACTGGATCGCCTCATGCTGTCTGTGGCTGTGTTTGTTGAAGGTTGGTACAAGGAGATGCTTCGTTTGGGGAGGGATGCTGAAGGGTGAGTCAGAAAGGGACCAGAATGTGCCAGGATGAGATATTGCCCTGAAGATAGGACGTACTGTAGGTGATGTATTATGAGAGCGAGATGTGAAATACAGGCATCAATAGGTCCTGGCTTTGCTCGGTTTGGGGTTTCTGGGGTGGCAGCGGCACAAAGCAGCAGGCTGAGTTTCCTCACCATGATAAATAGCTGGAGGATGCTGCCTTTATCTTCCATCTACAGAGCTGTTTGCGTGCCTCTCTTCTCCCTCGAGAGCCATTAATTGCACTGCTGGCATTGTCATCCTCATCTGCTTGCATTGCACGTGGCAAACTCAAGTGACTTATTCCATCATGGATCTCATTTTGTCTTCAGGCTGTCTTGCAAGTCACGAGTCAGGATTTCAGGCCCCTCTTGGAGCACGCAGGCAAAAGGCACTGGGAAATGAAGGTCTTGTTTATGTAGAAAACCCATTAAGGAAGGCACTGCTCCTGTTATTTTCCCTTCCCTCATCCCAGTGGTTTTCCAAGCAGCTCAACAGGCACCATTTGGTACATGAGAAAAGGAAATCTGTGTCTACAGCTCTCAAGAACATGGTGAGGTTTCAGCAGTAGAAAAGCAGGACACAGCAGGACCCTGACCATGAGGAAAGGGTGATCTGAAGAGGTGAAGAAAACCACCTCTGTTCTCCACATGTTGCTCAGATCCTCCTGCCCCAAGGTTGCGCATCGCATCCCTCTGGGATGGTGGGGTGCCAGGAGACCCGAAGGGATGGTGCTATGTGGAGTGCCTTGTTTTCATGGTGGCCTGCCTCAGTTTGCCAGCCAGGCAGGTGATTCTCCCTGCCAGGGCTCTGTGGTCATGGTTGGAGTCACTAACTCTAACCTGGTATTTTGCAGGGTGTCTCTTTTATTACCACGTCCTTCACCGCCCTATGCTGGACCAGCACATCCACTCCCTGCTCCTCATCGCCATCTTCGCAGGGGCCTGCAGCACCATGCTGGAGGTCTTCCTGCGTGACAACATCGTCCTGGAGATGTTCAGAGCCGGTGCCACCATCGTCCAGGGCACGTGGTTCTGGCAGGTGGGTTCTCTGATGGAGCAGGGCAGCGAGGTAGGAGAGCAGCAGGCAAAGAGGAGCAGAAGCCGCACATCATACATCAATCGCATGTCTCTGAAGGATGGGTTATGCCAGGCTCGCTTCATAAATAGATCATAACCCCCAATGCAAATGTGCTTATCACTGGTCATCCCTGCTGGCTGCTGCTGCTGAAGTTGCTGTTTGTCTTGGCTTATGGCTTCTCAGGGGGGGAAGAGCCCATGCGAGCGCTCCCAGGGAGCAAACAGGATCTAACAACCAAGTCCTAATTGCTTAATGTGCCTAATGCACCCTGCAGCACTCCCTCTGGTTTAGTGGAAAGATGCAAACCCCACCGAGCAATGAAATACAGGCAACTGCTTGCTCTGGTAGGAGGTGGAGAGGCAAAGAGCTCAGGGGGAGAGAAGCACTCCCAACACTAAGGTGCCAAAGAGAAATGTGAGCTCCCTCCTCTTTCTCAGCTGCCCTAACTCAAACCAGGCTTTATTCAGAGGTTAAAGACTGGGCTGAGCTTGTAAAGTGCTAAAGTGGGAGGTTTTAAAGGAGTCTGCAATGCAGTGGGACAATAGTGGTGTGGGTATTGCACAGAATAAGACCACAGGTGCAGACTTGCTTTGTGTGGTCTCTCACTGCAAGGTTGGACTTCCACTGTCCACTTCCACGGTCACCACATGGGTCATGGTGATGACAGAGATGGACACAGGGCACATACACTGGTTTCCTTTCCCCCCCACCCCAAGGTAATGCGTTGCTTGTTCCACCCAGATCGGTGTCGTGCTGTTCCAGCCATGGGGAGGCCCAATGTGGGATGAGAATGACCACAGCAACATCATGTTCCTCACCATGTGCTTCTTCTGGCACTGGGCAGCCGCCGTGGCCATCCTGGCTATGAACTACACTCTCACTTACTGGTATGGCTGGGGCAGGGATTTGGGCTGGAGTGGGATGCAGATGTACTCCAGCCCATCCTGGAGGACAAAGAGCTGAGTACTCCTCACTACAGCAAGTTCCAGGGCACAGTCCCAAGGGTGCACGTGATGTGTTGAGCGTACAGAATGCGAACCAGTGCCAGCAAGAGGCACGGGCATTAAATGGGAAGCCAAATGACAGGGACCCCGAAAGCTGGGCCTGGAAATCACGCTGTGTTTTTGCTATGCTGGAAGTCAAACTCTGATTCAACAGAGCAATCAAAGCGTTACCAGGACTCCCTGACACTTTGTCCTGTCCTTTGCAAGGGTTTGAAAGCTGGTGACAGTCACTGAGCTACAACAGCACTGTCTGATGGCTAAAATAGCACCAGCCCCCAGCATGGCTTTTCCAACGGATGGGAAGGGGGCATTATCCCACTTTCAGGGGTGCTCCTATGGCCAATGGACCTCTAAGGGATGCTGCATGGCTTGCTGAGACATGGTTGGACTCAATCCCCAAGGTCTTGTCCAACTTAGTTATGGCTGCCCCATCCCTGGCAGTGCTCAAGGCCAGGTTGGATGGGGCTTGGAGCAAGCTGCCCTAGTGGAAGGTGTCCCTGCCCATGGCCATGGAACTGGATGAGCTTTAAGGTCCCTTCCAACCCAAAGCACTCCATGATTCCATGGCTGACAGATGGGGTAGTCTAGGCAAGCAAATAGACATTAAACAGAATAAAATCCCCTCAATTCCCACCCAAACAGCATCTTGGGAGCTCTATCATAGTTTCTTCTCTTCTGTATTCAGTACAAGTGCATTGGGCTCCCTTGAGCATTCCGGTGAGTGGCAGCGGCTGGGGGTTCTGCTAACAGTGATTTACTGCTCGTGTGTTCCAGCTGCATCCAGAGGTGCAGGGCAGGCAGCGGGGAGCCCTACATCAGCCTCGGGGTCCGGCAGCAGAAGCGTGACCCCAGCTCCCAAGCCACCTTCTTGAGTGCATCCGATGAAGAGTGAAGAGGGAGCAATCGCCTGCTCCAGAGACGTGAGGAAGCTGCTTCCTAGAAGATAAAACCCCAACGCCAATGGGAGATTCCTGCTTTGGGAGAGCAAGGGGAGGTGGCACCGTTCTGCTGCTGGGAAGCACGCAGCGGGGAGCTGCCCTCCATCCATACCCCAATATTGGCCCTTTCTAAGCCAGCACTGGGTTTTAGCCACACAATTAGGCATGGGAATTGGACGTGAAGAGATCGCTTCACCCCACGGGTTCCCATGTGTGCTCCTGTGGTGATGGAGGGCACCCTTTCACCCGACTTTTCCAAGGGCATGGAGGCTCTGACCTGCTGTCCTTGGAGTCAGGGACACCCCCAGGCTGAGACCACGTACCTCTGGAGCAAGGCATCACCCCAAGGAGGAAGAGGAAGAGCGTTGAGTGTGAGCTGATGTCAGGTTTGCACCACCACTGTGGCTCGGCTGTGTACAAAGCAGGTTTCATTACGGAAGCACTGAGCTATTGAGCACTGAGCTGTTTGTAGTTTCCCTGTCCACTTACAGGCTGAAAGAGTGAATAAATGGGAAATAAAAATCCCCCCTGAGCTGACATCCTTACATTGAAGACTGATGAATTACAGAGTGTGTGATAACAGCTTCGGCAAGCCCATCTCTCAGACCTGCAGAGCCTGAAGGACTGTAAGACAGGCGGCTAAGCAGCAGGCATTCACAAACCATCCTGGTTTTCCATTGGGAATAACACAATGTGAGAGGAAACAGGCACACATTTTGCTTTGAGCCTTCCTTTGCCAACTAATTCCTTGCAAGGGAAGGGACTGGAAATGTCCTCAGTAGGAGGAAAAGATGCATATAGATATATATATATGGATGGATGGATGGATGGATGGATGGATGGATGGATGGATGGATGGATGGATGGATGGATATGATAACCACCAGCCCAAGGTGAGCTGCATCTGTCCACGTCTCAGACCCTGGGGCTAGAAGGATGCTCTGTGCAGAAGCCTCCTCCCTGATGTCTCCCAGAGGAGGGATGGATGGCAGCTGGGCTTGTGCTTGCTCATGACTGTAAGAGGAAAGCAGCTTTTGCTCACACGCAGGGAAAGCAAAGCTCCTCTTTGAGCATCCTTGTGCAAAGCCTCTTGCAGAATAAGGGGGCTCTAACCTGGGTTTTATTGCTTATTCACAGTGCTATGAAGCCTAACCGGCTCTCCTTGGACCCCAGCTTCCCTCTGTTGCCCCCACTGAGATGGTTTCTTTTGGCAGGCCTGGATCCCCGCGTCATTTTCCCCTTGGGAAACACTCCCGGCATCCCTATTCCCATCCAATAGCCACATGAGGGCAGCACCAGGCAAGGCTCCTTCACCGTGCTCCAGGCTGGCTGAGGCTGCAGTCAGTCCCCATGCCGCCACCCTCGCTGAAAGCAGGGGTTATTCCCACCGCAGGGAGCACAGAGGAAGGCTGACCTTGCTATTCCCTGCTTGTGAAGGTGGGAGAAGGTTTATCCAACCCTCCCCTGCTCTTTTGGCTGCTCCTAATGGAGCTGCTGCCCCCTTTCACCCCGAGGTTTTCTTTGTCTCTTGTCGCTGCAGGGCCACAAGAAGCTTTTTCCCTGTGTCTGGAATAGCCTCATGCATCCCTGCTCCTGCAAACACCCCAGCACCATCAGCATAGCGCTTCCTGATTTGTTTTCCAGCTCTGGGGCACATTCTTTCCCAAGGTATGAAGGTCAGCCAAGGAGCAGGGATGCAGCCTGTGGTTAAGTGGGAGAATACAGGTGATGATCACTTCTGGAGCAGGAATAAGCATGTTCCTCTTAGCTTGGAGAAAACCATGTTTGTAAAGAGCTCAGCTTTTGGGGCCAGTTGTCCTGCATCCTGATTTTCACCATATAAACTGAGTTATTACCTAGTGTCTTTGCACTGGACCCACCGGAGGGGAATGGGGTATATGTGTAGTCAAAGGCAGCTCTGGTTTCAAAAGGCCTCATGAAGGTTGCTGGGTGCATGGTGAGTGGTCCAGAGATGCTTTGTTATATAGCGAGGTGCCCCCACCAGCTGCCATTGCACTGATTATATGTGTTATGGTATAGATGCTAAAGGGAGCATCGCTTTGAGCCAGGACGGTACTAAAGGGAGTAGTGCTTTTAACACAGCCTTAGCATCACCCAGTCGTCCTGGACCATCAGCTGAGTTACCAGTCAGCCTTTGTACTGGACCCATTGGGTTGAATAGGGGGTATATTCATAGCCAGATCCAAAGCTGCTTTTAAAAGGCCTCATTTCCCTGGCAGAGATAGGATCTGCTGCTGCCACCCTTCCTGGCCACCTTTATGTAAGCTGAAACGATGGTGTAGGCAGCAGAACAAGCCCTGCCTGTGCTGTTAACCGCCTGCTTCACCTCCTCTGGTGCCTGTTTATGAAAGGCAGCGCTCGCATTCGTCATAACAATAATAACACTCTGCACTTCCCAAACACCCATCCATCTGCAGCGCCGGGGCTGCTGGCGAGCTTGTAATTACACCGTGCCTCCCCCCACCCCCGGGGAGGCAGGCAAACATTATCACATCTTCCCCATTAGCTGGATGGGGAACCTGCAGGGAGAGGATGCTGCGCTCCCAGCTGAGGGGAAGGGAAAAGAGGAGGGCAGTAATGAAATGCGCTTTGGGGTTTAGCTTGAGATCATTAGAGGGGTTGGAATGGGATCATTAGAGGGGTAAGAGCAAGTCAGATGCAGATCTGCATCCCTCCGTGTCTCCCTGGGAGGAAGAGGACATCAGGGTCGTATATAGAATGGTTTGGGTTGGAAAGGACCTGAAGATCATCCAGTTCCAACCCCCTGCCATGGATACCTCTCATATCCTTAGGGATACTCCACATCCCTAAGGAGCTGTGATGGAGCTGCATCCATTGGCACCTGCAGTGGTGTGTGAGTGACCTGCTCTGTGATTCGGAGGGAACATTGCCATCCTTTCTCTGGGTACCCCATGGTGTTCCCATCCAGGTGTCATAGTTTTATTCTTGTTTCCATCATGGGGATGGTTTAACAGGCTAGAAACCCCTTTTCCTCACACCACTTCATCCAGCTATGACTTCTTTCCCTGTCTGACTGCAGGGACTTTAATATAAGCTACCTTTTCCATAGACACCTTCCTCTATACGCTTTCCTCTTTCCTGGCCCTTTAAACTCCATGGAAAATGGCATCATCAGCCTTTGAGCAGATCCCTTTCAGCTGAGCATCGTTTCCTCCCCTCTCCCTGCACCTGCTGCATTCCCAGCTTCCATTGCCCCACTTCCTGCAAGGACCTCGCTCAGCCTGCTTGGGAAATGCCTTTGTGCTGAGGCTTTGTTGAGCTGGGTGCTTGGAGCAGGGAAAACTGAGCTGCAAAGAGCTCCTTGCTGCTGCTGCCCTTTTGCCATCAGGAAAGGTGCGTTTCTGTCGTGTGTTATAGGGTAGGTCTGTAAGGAATTGCTCCTTTGAGGGGTGAATTTCTCTCTCTGCTTGGGTTTAACGTGGTAGCAAGCTCATGAAGTGAACCCAATGCCGCTCTGGGCTTCCCCCATGGCACAGGCACCCTGTGTGTGTGTGTGTGTGTGTGTGTGTGTGCTGAGCCCTGTGCACCGTGCCTTGCTCCCTGAGCAGGATTGGAGGTGAGCAGTGATGTGTGCACAGCACAGCTCCTTGTTTTCCTTCCTGCCTCCCACTGCTGATTGTGGAGATAAAGGGCATAAAGCAGCTCCTGGCTACAGCTCGGTGGCTTTTATGGCTGTGCTGGCGAGCAGCCCTGCATTGTTCTCCACCCCTGGGCCTTTCCTGCCTCACGTGTGGGGCTCGTGGCTGGTCCTGCAGCCTTCCTTGGGGTTATTGTGGGTTGCACGAGGAGCTGTGCATAGAAACACTGGGTTGGGGATGCTCTGCGTGATGGTTAGCGCCCACGTTTTACAGTGACCAAGGGCAGGTTGGACGGGGCTTGGAGCAACCTGGTCTAGTGGAAGGTGTCCCCGAGCTTGAAAGTCCCTTCCAACACAAACCATTCCATAGCTGGAGATCTGGGCAGTGCCGACTGTTTCTGCACCATTAACTTGGTGTTTCAGAGGGAAGCGGGGATGCTGGAGGGGTCTGTGCTGTCTATTTCCCTCGAGGCACTTGCGTTGCTCATCTACACAGCCATCGAGGTGCTAAACCTGGGCCAATGCCCCCCTCCCCTTGGCTGCTGTGAGATGGAGCTCACAAGGGCTTTGATTTGTGAGCTCCTGGCTCCAAATCTCCTGCTTCCAGGTGCTTATTATAACCCCAGACCCCCCTAACAGGGTTATTGTGTACCTGGCACCCCAGGTTAGAGCCCTTCCATGCCAGGCGATGCCACAGCCTTGCCCCCCTAAAACCCCTCAGCGTAAGAACCGAACCTGGTTTCCATGGGGATGGGAGCCGGCTGCTCGCCCTGATTCTTGTGGCGAATTCCAGGAGGCTGGAATTTGGTTGTTAATGGCAGACACGAGGTGTTTCGGGTTGGGCAAGGCGGGTTGACTCAGCGTGCTTTGAACTGCCCCGCAGGATGCTCAGCTCCAAACATCCTGTGTGAGGGCCACCTCCCCCGGGGTGGCTTCCCCTTTATCTGCCTCCTGTGAGTAATAACAGCTCCTCGCTGGCACATCTGGAGCGGGAGGAGGACGGGCAGGAGCCACAGGTAAAGTCTCCTACACGTAGAGAGGTGAAAGGCTCTGCGATGGGATGGATGTGGTTGCTTGAGCTTGGGAAGAAGGGATGCGTGGGAGAGTCCACCTTCTGCAAGGCAAAGGTTCAGCGTGGTGCTGGTGCAGATCTGACAGCAAGCTGTGTCTTTAGCCCTGTTTTGGGGGGGATTATCAGGTTTTGGAGGAGAGGGAGCTCGTGCCTCTTGGGTGGGTGCTGTTGGCACAAGAGAGATGTGCCTGGGTAGCAAAGTGGAGGAGGATGCACAAAGAGAAGCCCCTCCGAGCATCTATGGCCAGGCAATGAACTTGCCCTCTGCTTATAGGCTGGTTGCCCTGTGCTTGCACCCATGGGGATGCTCATACATCCACATGGGAAGGCATCACCCAAGCAGCATTGATCTGCCTGCATCAGCTGGAGCAAGGCCCCATAGGAGGCCGTAGATGGTGATGGACACAGAAAGCCTGGAAATCAGGCAGGAATGCTGTTGTTCCCGAGGCTGGGAATGCTGTGAGAGCTCAGCAGGAGGCACAGTGAGGAGAGTGGGCAGCTCCAGTATGGCTGTTAACTAAAAGCATCACAGGCTGGGAGCCTACTAACTTGTGACTGCAGCCACATTTCAGGTCCTGGGACAGACAGAGCAGCTCACAGGAAACATAAACACCCAGGAGCTCTCTTGGGGCTTTAATCAGCTTCTGTGTGAGCATGGACTCAAAGGGAGGGGATGGAGAAGCCGGCGGGTGAAGGGGTACCAGTTTTGGGGGTTTGGGTGTCTGGGGGTGCTGTTCTGCACCTCCAATGTGTGAACTGAGCGAGGGCACTGCTGCTTGGAAATGAACCCAGTTCCAAAACAGTGGTGGTCAAAAAAGGCCCTTTTCAGGCTCTTTTGAGTGGGTT